AGTGCAGAATCGACTGTGCCGAGCGGCCTTAAAGTCCCGCCTAAGTGGCCCTTGGGGGGTCACGCTCTGTGATCAATGGGGAGTCAGGCTAAGCTAAACCAACAAAGTGAGAGTGAGGGCATTCCCTGGAGGCCTCCTTGGGGATGTGCAGATGGAACAGGAAGTACGTAAAAAAAAAAAAAGGTCAGTGATAGATCCACAATGGACTGGGCCATCCAGCCCGAGATTTTAACGAATCAAATACCCGTGATGTGGTCAGGTCAGCAGGTGGCCCGGGCAGGGACCGGTCCAGGGACACAGCCCACACAGAGCCCTCTGGGAGCAGATGACATCAGCAGTTAAAGGCTGATAAATGGACCAGCGTGACAGAGCCAACACTCCCTGGGTTTCTCTCGGATTCTGTTGGAGTAAGAATGTTCGACAAAATATTCCTAAAAGAGGGTGGGGGGCCGCGGGTGGGGGGTAAGAGCAAGAATAAGAAGCCATGTTATGAGGGGCAAGGAATGGAGGGAGGGGAGAAAGAAGAGAAGCCAGCGCTGGATTTGAGCTCTGGTATCCCCAAGCCTTAAGAGCCATCTGGTGGCAGAGGCCTGAAAAAACAGGGGGGTTAGGCGAGGCATAAATGACACACCCCTACACCATTTAGCAAACTGGACTGTCTACGGGTTCCTCATGACCCCAACTTAAAAAAACAAATTTAAGTGCCCGCTAAAGGGCATCAGGAAATCAAGGACAGTAAGCCAGAGAGAGGAGAGATCAAATAAAAGTACCTGGTACCAAAGAGGATTCCTGAGGAGAAACAAAACACATCACCATGGTCCAGAAAACATGTCCTACGATAAAATTAAGAGCTTGGATTCTGGAACCAGACTGCCTGTCTGGCTTTGAATCTTGCTTTTGACGCATGTTAGGGATCACTGGATAATTTATTTAACTTCTGTGTCGGTGTCCTTGTCTATTAACGGGGTGAAAAGCACCCCCTCACCATGTTGCACGGGTTAGGTAAGAACCAAGTAAGCTGTTGCGTATCAGCACTCAGGATGGAGACTGACACATGAGAACACTCGATAACTGTTCGCCGCTACATCGGTGCTACTGTTCACACTACTACAGCCACCCGGGCTGGGTCTCATCTGTGCTCACCATCTACCAAGAGAAACTCCTATAAAGGAGCCTGTAAGAGAATGCAAAACCCATAATCTCTCACTATCTGGCCTTCGAAAGAGTCAAAGTCTCCCTCTCATCCAACCCTTCTGCTTTTTAACAAGGTGCACCTGGGTTCAAATCCCGGCTTTCTGCTCGCCACCCATTTGACTTGGGAGTCAGAACCTTTATGAGCCTCAGTTACTCCATTTATTAAAATTTTATCTAATGTTTACTCATTTTTCAGACAGAGAGAGACAGAGTGTGAGCGGGGTAGGAGCAGAGAGAGGCAGGGAGGAGACACAGAATCTGAAGCAGGTTCCAGGCTCTGGGCTGTCAGCAAAAAACCCCAGCCCGGGGCTCAAACCCATGGACTTCGAGATCATGACTTGAGCCAGTCAGACGCTCAACCGACTCAGCCACCCAGGTGCTCCCCCCACCCCCGCAGCGACTCCATTTATAAGATGGGAAAGCAGGATCTTCCTCCCACGGTGGCGGTGCGGACCAAATGGGACCACAACGCCAAGTGTCTGACACAGCCAGCCCTCTGGCATCTTCTACCTCTACGTTCCCCCCATGGAAGCACAGGACCAACCCGAGTGTGGGAGAGGAAAGTAAACACAAGCACGAAGCTCTTTGGAAAACAAGAAGTGCTAAGTGCATAAATATTTAATAAAGGAGAGAATGTAACACTCAAGAGGGATGAACTCTCCTTCGAGTCCCAGCCACTCCCTGGGCGGCGGCAGCACCCACCAGGCTCTCTGCAGCCTCCAGGGGGCCTCGAAAGTGCATTACCGCTCACCTCTGAGCAGAGGCCACGCAGAAAACAGCTGTTCCCGGGCCTCCCACGCCACTGCTGTTCCCTCTCGCTCAGCGGTGGAAAACAGACCGATTAAGCGTAAGCCACAGAGGCGTGGAGACAGCCCTCCACTGCCTACCCTCCAGCTACATTTCCCACCCCGGGGGAATGACGTGGTGTGACATCTGGAAGTCAGGGAGCCCGAGGCCCAGCAGCAGCTGCAACCTCAGCCTTCCGCCTGACAAGCCGGTTTGCTGCTACGGAGCCTCCGAAGCAACGGGAGCCTCGGAACACCCTGATGAGGACACGGACACGTATGTCATTTCTCTGTTGGAGGACTTTTTAAGAACATAAGTGCTAAGCACAAAGCCAGGCACCCAAGAGGTGACTTCACACATTTCTCCCCTCCCCCCCTTATTCTCTTTGGTAACACCATAAATTAACCAGAATCCAAATAACTGGCACCTCTGATGAGCTAAGTCCTTAGCCTTCCCTTACATGTGCCAAGAATGGAAACAAGCAGGAGTTCGGAATCGATTCAAAAAGGCAATGTCAGGCAAGGTCCTGGGGTCAGCACGAACTCTAGCTTTCTACAGCTGCAGAGCCATGTGATGGGCTCCATGGCTAACAACACCGACCTTGAGGGCCAGGGGAGACCACAGAACGCGCAATTATGATCAGAATGTCCTAGTTGGTAAGGCGGGCAAGTGTGTCCCTAGGCGTTTCCACAACAAGGGGTCACACAAAATGGGGTCCCTGCCTAACCCTCCATTAACCCCCAAATCCACTTAAGCAGCACAGCCACTCCCCTAAGCTTCCACTTGCCCAGGCTCAGGCTCTAACTGGCCAAGGAATGGTCAATCATTTATACAGTTTGCTTGTTCCAAACTGTGGTACAGAACAGTATTTTTCTTTTTAATTTCTAAATGTTTATTTTATTTTAGAGAGAGAGTATGCAAGCCGGGGAGAGAGGCAGAGGCAGAGAGAGAAAGAGAGAGAGGATCTTAAGCAGGCTCCATGCTCAGCATGGAACCCGGCGTGGGGCTCCATCCCAGGACTCTGAGATCGTGACCCGAGGCTACATCAAGAGTCAGACACTACCGACTGAGCCACCCAGGGACCTACAAAAGAGGGCTTTTTATGGGGTTAGAAGAGGCCAAGGGTAAACTCAGACAAGACCCCCCTGTGACCTCATGTCGCTGAAAACAACCCTGGGACCATCTCACACGCTGGAGCAGACCAGGACGGGTAGTAGCCATGGCCTTGAGAAGGCAGAGGGGTCCTCTTTGGAAGGTGTGCAAACCATCTTTGCGAAGCGGGTGGGTCGCAAAGTCAGAAAAACCTCTTGCAAAGCCACCTCTCATCCAACCCACCCTTGGCTGCATGGCTGCTCGCAGGGTCCTGGTCAGGTGTCCGGCAACGGCAGGGACGCCAGGCAGCCTGGCTCCACCTTACAGCCGCTTCCCCCCAAGCAGGAGAGGGGAGGAACCCGGGGAGCCCCTCAAAGCACACACACCTGACCCCTCCCCCACATCAGGAAAAGGACGCCGTGAAGCAGTGGGTGCAGGGCATCCCCCTGACCAGGCAAGTGGCCTCACTTGCTGTGGGAGACTTGCCTCTGTGGGGGAAGGGAGCTCAAGCTCAGTGCAGGAGGCCAGGGCCTGGGTCAGAGAATCAGCCCGGGAGACAGACAGACAGAGAAGGGTTCAAACCCCCTCTCCGCCATTTACCAGCCACGTGACGCTGGGCTAGCCACTTTATGCTGCCTGGGGTGGCTGTGAACGGCTGATCTAAGCACCCTCAGCACCTGACACAGGGCAGGGGGACAACGGTGCCTCCTCCCCCCTGCAGAGGAGAGGATTACAGGAGACGCTGTGAAGTCAAGAGACCAGTCTAAAAAGACAGGACCAGTAAAATCAGCCTGTGATCCCTGATGGATCCTGGTTTGGAAGACAAAAATCGCGACCAAGGACATTATTGGGACAACGGGGGGAAGTGCTGGTAACATCCGTCATCGTGGGGAACTCCCAGGGGGTGAGACCGTGTCACGTCGTGGCCGGACAGGAGCCTGCCCTCGTTCCTACGAGATGCACATGGAAGTGCTGGGGAGGAACAGCCCGGAGTCTTACAACTCACCCTCAAATGGTTCAAAGGCAACAACACAAAAACCAGAGGGAAAACACACAGTAAGACGCTAACCCTGACCGTCAATCAAGACAAGGGCACCGGATTCTGGCGGCTACCTATGGGATGGAAATTTCTCGAGCTACATACAAAGCTAGGAAATGAAAGCGACCCTGTCAGGAGCTCTACGTGTGCGCCTGCCTCCCCCACAACCGAATGCCGGGCGCCTCCACCCGCCCCCCCCGCGTGCCGGAGGGGCCCCCTTCCCTCCACACCGCACGCCGGGCGCCCTCCTCCCCCTCACCGCGTGCCAGGCACCTCCCTCCCTCCCCCACCATGTGCCGGGCGCCCTCTGCCCTCCCCCACCGCGTGCTGCCCTCCTCTTCTCCCCACCGCATGCCGGCGCCTCCCTCCCTCCCCCACCGCAGGCCGGCCGCTCCCCTGCCCCCCGCCGAGTGCCGGGCGCCCCCCTGCCCCCCTGCGTGCTAGCCACCCTCCTCAACCCCCACCGCGTGCCGGG